TAAAGATTTACTGCATTGGAAACCCAGTGGGGGTCACTGTGAGTTAGAATTGACTCAATGGCAGTGAGTTTGTTTTTTTGGTTTGAAGTCTTTAAGGCAGAGCAGGAAATCAAGGTGGTGGTGCAGGTGGAGGTCTCTAATGTGCCTCCCCTCCAGCCATGGCTGTAGAGTCCTCTTGATTCAACTTTGTCAGGCTCTCAGATTAGGCCAACTGTTTTCAAGCACAGTCAGAGTGGTGATAACTTTGCCTGCCTTCCCCAAGCCCCACAGCATCACTACTGCAGTAGTGCCACAGCCCATCTGGCAAAGTGAGGATTCCCAAGGGAAGCCCCTCACCTCCATGGCAGTGGGTGGATGCCTGGGAAGGCTGGGCCTCAGAGAAGCAGCCAAGGAACAACTCAGGATGAAAGGAGGCAGGGGCACCATGTCCCAGCAGGGGAAGTTGGTTCCCAAGGGGCTGTGCAAGTGCAGCTGTGTGAAGGTTAACAGCGGAGGCCATGTGGGCATCAGACTGTCCTGGCTCTGATTCTTGCTGACTGTGTGATCTTGGACAAATGAAAACCTTTTGGAGCCTCAGTTTTCTCCGCTGTAAAATGAGTATAGTATCAATCACATGGGATTGTTGTGAAGCTTAATTAAATGAGAATACTGCATGGAAATGGCTTGGCACGGTGCCTGGCACATGGCTAGTACTCAATAACGTTAGCTATAGTGATGACAACAATGGTGAGGATGATGACAGCAGGGGGTTCTGTGGCTCAGGGACTTTATTTATTGATTCCACGGTGAGGGGCAAACTCTGAGACCACGCAGCCTCTCACTGTATTTCCCCTGAGGGGAAACGGGCATTCACTCCAGCGTATATAGGGGCATAGAGAACCCTGCTCCCACAGTCTGAGCTCTGCCCTCAGGCTGCCTCTCTCAGGGGTAGCAGATCCCAAAATGCTGCTGCTGGAGGAGATGTCGCTGGCGGCAGCAAATCCCTTACCTTGGTTGTCATAGGAAGTGATGACCTGGGTCTGCTGAGGGTGCTGCTTCTCTGCCAGATGTCCTATTTAAGGAAGACAGAGAGGCCTGCAGTGATCACTGGGAACACAGTGGAATTTTCCCTGGGCAGGAGCAGGAAACTGTGCATCTGCTAGACAGACAGGCTGTGCACACCCACAGGCCTGGTCTCAACACATATACCCATGTGCACACCTGCACTGTGCTCACACGCATGAATGTGGAGGCCATGATAGGAGCCTGGGGGCACACCTTCCTCTTGACTCCCAGCAAGAGCATAGGTTGGGTTTCTCCCAGAGCAAGCTGGATGCCTGAGAAATCCCTGACTCTGGTGACCTCAGGCACAGTTTCCAAAACACTCTTCCACACAGGGATCTTTCACTGATCTTCACACTCTTTCTGTGGAGCAGGCTGGGGGTATGTGTTTCCTATCCCTATTTTAACAGAAGAGGAGCCTGGTTATTTGTTGTTGTTGTTAAAAGCCCATAAGCCAGGGAAGGTCAGACCTGGGACTTGAGTCCCAGGCCCCCTGACATATTTCAGCTTAGGAGTTGGGGCAACTTGCAGTTTGGTTCAGTTTCACAAATAGGTGCAAGATGTCCATTCTGTGCAAGCTCTCTCCATACACTGGGACACAGAGCTGTCAGCAAAGTCCATGGGGTCAGACTGCAGTACAGATGTGCCTGGTGCTGCCATGAGCCATAGTGGGGAGCCCATAGACTTACCTGCCCTTCCTATGAGAAGCACAGCCTTTCCTACTTTCTTCTTTTACAGCTGTTACCAGGGCCTACTCTTACTGAGGCTGCCCTTGAATCTCTGCCTTAGAGGGGCTGGGGAGGGACCAGGAAGGGCCAGGAGTGTGGTAGCAGGAGGCTCCCCCAACACTACCACCCTGGCCTGTCTTCTCCCTGTGGCCTCCTGCTGATCTATTGGAAGGCTGTAGCGTTTGGCCCAGACACAAGCATTCCTTGGAGGTCTCAGCATGAATAGGTTTCCATTCAAATGTCTCCCTTTGTACACCTAACTGGATCTGCCACTCAATGCTTCCCATGCCCGGGCCTAAGCATAAGCCAATAAGGGTGGAAGGTGGGGCACTGAGCCGGACTAGATTTGGGATCCCCCTGGCAGGGTCTTACTCCCTGGAGGAGCCTGGCTGCTTCAGCTTTCCCCAGTGAGCAGGTCTAGCCAGGCCCCTGAGCCCCCAGACCATGGCTGGTTGGCCAAAGGCCAGGTCCACTGTGTGTGCCAACCTATGGTGATTTGGTCCTGGGCCACAGCCCCAGGTCAGACTCAGGCGAGGACAGGGAAGCTGCCTCCTGTGGGCACAGCTGGCTGTATCTTCCCTTGGAAACAGGATCTGAGAAGGGAATCCTCAAGGAAGGTGATTGGCTGGCACAGCTACCGCAGGGTATTTATAGTCAGGGCTGCACAATTGGTTTCCCTGTAGCTGTGGGACAGCAGTCCCTTGCTGCTAGGCAGAGTTCGGCCAGGACCCAAGGAAAGCAGCCAATCACAATCGGGGAAGCCCGTTGCTGGGCAAGCTGTTGAGGGTGGTGGAGCCCAAACACCTGCTGTTGAGAAAAGTTTGGACCGTTCCAGGCTCCCCTGCCCGTCCAGCCCCTGCTAACATCCCAGCCCAAGGAGTGTACAGGGCGGCAAGAGGAGAAAATGTGCCCTTTGGGATCAACCGCATGCTCCAGCCACGTTTGTGCACACTGCACCACATATACTTTTAGTGGCGTCCTTGTCAGATGAAGTCATCAGTGACCAGAGCTGGGCGGCCCTTTGGTGACCAGGGCTGGGTGCCTTTGGCACCAGCAAGGCAGGTCCAAGAAGAAAAGGTCAGCTTCAATACCTGCACCCAGAATCTTGCCATCAGAAAACACTGAAAGAAGCTGTTTCAATTTCTGCATGCATTCAAGTGTGCCATTTAAAAAATAAATGGACATTTACTTTAACTTGCATAGATGGGTGAAATGATGGAACCGTCTTCTTTTCCAGGCTTGGGGCCTCTGTACAGCCTTTCTCCAGCCCTGCATTTTCCCCAAAACTCTCAGTTCTTAGGGTGGTTTTGCAAGAACTACTTTAATCATCCTCTTTGTCAGATGACACATCTACTAAGTCCCACTTCACATTTTTTAAAAGAGTCTTGTAATAGTCTTGTCATTATTACTGTGTCACTTTGTGTTTTGTTGTATTTTTTTTTCCTAACCTTTCCCCAAACCCAGGAACCCTGAAGGTAAGAAAAACAGGATGAATTCAGTATATGTCAGTCTCTTCTGAGGTAATCACAAGTCCAAGAAGCCATAAGACTACTCTGAGACAACTCTGGCAAGGTAGGGGAGAGCTGTGACAAGTGGGGGTGCCGTTCTCTTGCACCCATCTGTGGCTCACTCACCCACTTGTCCATGCACACACTGGCCTGGCATGGATGCTCTGCATGGGCTGCTATGTATTTCAGTGACTGACAGATCTCTGGAGATCTGATTCTTACTATAATTCTCAGATACCCATAGCACAGTTTCTCTAAATTTGGTGTCTGCTTCAGTAAAGCCAAAGTTGGCAAGTGTCCCATTCAACGTACTCTGGTTGTAAGGCTAAGGAAGCCATTGCATCCATACATGCCCATCAGCCATGCCACAGAGGATAGTTCCCCAGTAGGGGTGTGTATCTTGAGGATGACTCCTGCCTGTGCATAGGAAAGGGAACATAGGCAAGCTATTCCCCTCCGGGCACTGAAACTCTACTGCAGTGAATAATGTTACACTTAAGTCACTCCACAAGGGCAGGGGCTCCTGACTGTCTTGTGCATTGTTTTGTTCCCAACAATTACAACTGTACCTGGCACAGAGTAAGTACTAGAGATATTTGTTGAGGGAATGAATGGATTTACTTTGGAAACATCATACTGCCCTTTCATTACTGTTAGAAGGATAGCTGAGCATAGCTGTTTGGTCCTGTTTAATCACTCAACAGAATATCCAACCAAGCCTCAGTTTCCCCATTTGTATAGGGTCATAGGGGTCATTCCTTCAGCCTGGCATTTGATGAACAAGTCCTCTGATCTGGGGTTCACACAGTCAGGGTCTGACAGAGCTCTCTATTGGGGCTCTAGAGTGGAGGTCTTAGAATTCTCACATGCCCACAATATAGGCTCACTGTTTGTCCCTGCAGAATAGGCTGACAAATGGTTGAAGGGCACAGAATAAGGCCATTATAGTTAGCCCATCCATTGCATTCCCTGAGATGCTGGGCCTGCAGGGTGACAAATGCCTGGCATCAGTAAGAGAAGGCTTTGGAAGCTAACTTCACTCAGACCTTACTGTATTCAGGGATCCAGACCAGCAGGGAGCCACGGATTGGCATCTCCCCAGGCCACTGTCCTGTCTATTCTGAAAAAAATTCAAAAGATGGACATTCTTCATGGCATAAACATGAACATGAACATCCCTATCCTCCATGAGAACACACTCAAACCTACCATCCCAAACGGTGCCAAGCCCTTCCCTGGCCACAAAGCCACAGACACTGGTTATGGAGGATCTTGCCTCCATAGCACAAGACAGTCAGGAGCCCCTGCCCTTGTGGAGTGATGTAAGTGTCACATCACTCACTGCAGTAGAGTTTCAGTGCCCTGGAGGGGAATAGCTTGTCTGTGTTCCCTTTCCTATGCATAGGTAGGAGTCATCCTCAAGATGACTTATCTATAGATCCCCGTAGCTCAGCACACAAATGGGTGCTCAAGGTTATGGTATCACTCCCCACCCACAGCCTCCAGGAGTCTGCAGGGTGGTATGAGGGTCTCGATGCCAGACAAAACTTTCCAGGGTCACAATGGTCCTAGAGGCCTGGCTGAGTCATGAACAGTCATGATCTGAGTGATTAGATGTCTACAGGCCAGTCTTCAAATGAATGAACAACTGAAACCCAATCCTTCCAGTCATTTTTCAATGTATTGAATTCCAGATGTTGAAAATGAAATAAAGAGAATTTACCAGGAAGGTCATTTGCTTCTATTTTCTGCCACTTCCGGATTCCGTTTCCGACACCTTGGAGTCCTGTGAAATAGCAAGGACTGGCATGAGATGCTCTGTGGCATAGCAAGAGATGTACCAGTGCAGTGTTATCTGGATTAAAGTAGGGCTGGTGGAGCTTGGTCCTCTCAGGATCTGAAAGAGGCTGCCTTATGAATGAGATGCACTTGGGGAATGAAGGTAACTCTCAAATTTAAAAAAATTATGTCAAAACAGTAGTTTTCATGGGGAGAGGTTAGTTGACAAGATCATCTGGAGAGAATTTTGTTAATGCCAGACAAAAAAAATATATATATATATATATATATTGCCATTGAGTCTATTTCAACTCATAGTGATCTTTTAGGACAGAGTAGAACTGCCCCATAGAGTTTTCAAGGCTGTACACCTTTAGGGAAGCAGACTGCCTCATCTTTCTCCTGCAGAGTGGCTGACTGGGTCAATCTGCCAGCCTTTTGGGTTAGTAGTCAAATGATTTAACCACTGTGCCACCAGAGTTCCTTTTTCTCAATACAAATGCCCATTTTCTACTCCCATATCTCTACCACATAAGTATGGAAACATTATTTTAGAAGAGATTTGTCATTCATGTTGCCTAGCTATTTCTGGATGTGGTGAATTCTCCACTTTTATAGTTTTGATGGAGATGGAGGTACAAAGACTGCCTATGCTGAAGGGAACTGAAAATGATAGCTCCCTGCTTTCCCAGCCACCCCTGCAACTGCAGCATGTGCATGTGTGGCCTGGATGCACCTGTGCCTGACTCGGCCTTGGGATCCGGTGATGCAACGGGGAAAGGAATGGAAGCTCTCTCTCTGGCGGCGGGTGGAAGTGGTGGCTGCAAAGTGGAGTTCCTGGCATGAAACCGGCATACATTCTGGCAGTGATAGCAGCTGCAATAAAATCAAGTTCCTGGCATGGAAGGAGCACATAGTACTTCTTGGTGGCAGCGGAGGTTTCCTCACCCGACAAGCTTTATGGCATTTTAAGCCACTAGTGCTGGATGCTCAGCCTCCAGCCTGACTCTCCAGCCCTTTCAACCACTCAGAGGCCCCTAACCCCTTCTTTTCTGCAGAGTCCTCCATAGCCAGTGTCTGTGGCTTACCAATCAGAATCCTCACTGACACAGTTATGGAATGGAACACACAATTTTTGAGCGTAGGGGCATAAAATCTAATACTTCAAAGCTTTTTCAGACTTGTTGCGGGCAGCTTTAGGCTACCTCCTCCACTGCCAGATGAATACATCAACCCTCCTCTCTGGGAGGAGATGAAGGCTTCCACACACATTTTTTAGAAGCACTATGCTAAGGAAAGAGTCGCTGGGTGGTACAAATAGTTAATGTGCTTGTCTGCTAACAGAAAGGTTGGAGGTTGGAGTCTACCCAGAGGCCCCTCAGAATAAAGGCCTGGTGATCTACTTCCGAAAAATCAGCTATTGAGAATTCTATGAAGTACAGTTCTACTGTGACACACAGGGGTTCGTCATGAGTTGAAGTTGATCTGACAGCATTTAGTTGGCTCTAAGGAAATGGTGTGGAAAATGCTAGAGCTCTAGAGGAGAGGAGAAAGAGCACCCCATGGCCTTATACTCCAAATCCCTGGGGACCCAGCCTATCCACACTTTCTTTGTCCTTCTGATTTCTTTCTAGCCTCAAAGCCACAGCAAAAGAGCCATCTAGTTACTTCTCCATTCAGTCCTCTGCCTTGTGGCAATAACTGTGCTTGCTTTTTTTTCTTTTTCTAAAATGGAGCTCAGGATCTCTCTTTTGCAGAGTTGAGCAAGCTGAGGACCTGCAGTGGAGAGGAGGCAGGAGGTGTCTGGAAGTGGATGTAGACGTGCTTTGGATCTTGTGCACGAACAGGAGACCTTGTAACATGTTGGTCTTGTCCAGTGTTTTCTCTCCCTCAGGCTGTGTCCTGAGGAGTGAGCTTACAAGGAGGTCAAGCCAGAATTCCCTTGGACATCACGACAGCCTAGCAGGCCATGAAAGCATGCACTCTGCCTCTTCTCTGCTCTGGTGCAGAACTGGCTGACTGTGAATAAGTGACACAAGTCTCTCCACTATCATAGATTCTGGGAGAAACCTCTGTCAGGCAAATATATGGAGAAAGGACCAGCAAACAGGGGTCTTTTCCCCTGTCAGTATAAAGGGCATTGTCTGGAGTCACGGGGGTTTTGTGCTAGACAAGAGGCAGTTCTAGCACCTGGCATTTCCTGGGCTTCTCTGTGTTCTTCTCCCACTCTTTCTAGTGTCAGAACCCTTAGGAGAGATATGCTCAGAGTGGAAGTGGGACATGGTGACTCAGGCTGATCAGGAGCTGGCCCTCAGAGGGCCCTATGGCTTTGCCACATGTGGAGGGAGCCTTTCTGGACTGCAGTGTGTGTAGTAGCAGAAGCCTCATACCTATCTAGGAATATCTGACTTTTGCTAATTTCTTAATTACAAATATCCTGGGAGGGCTGTTTCCTCTTCTCCCAGGAGCAGCTCTGGGAACTAAAGAAATAACTAACCAAAACAACTCCTGGTCCCCAAATTCCTCCAAAGACTGGAGCTCCTGTCAACATTCTCAGTCTTCCAGGCCTTCTTTTCCCTGCCTGCCATCCTAGGAGGTACCTGTGTGGCTGGCAAGGGCAAGGCCATCCATGGCTCCATTGCTTCAGTGGGACAGGTGTAAAGCAAATGTTATATATGCATTGGGGCTCGTGGAACAGAAGAGCTGGGAGCAGTGTAGCAGCAGGAATTCTCCAGTGATTGCTGGAGAGGAGGTGGGGGTGGGGTGGGGTGTAGAAGTTATTTTACTGAATGGGCTGCCAAGCATCATTCCAAAAGAATAGGCAGTCGGTCAGTCTAGTGCATGCTCACACCAGCCTCTGGGAGGGCTCTGAAGGCTTCATCATAGACCCAAGACCCCAAAACTTCTCAGGGCTTATTGAAACCTCCATTATAATTCATCTGTAATATATCTATATGATGTTAAGTCCTCTAGAGAATACGGAGGCCTGAGTCCTGTTTCTGCAATCTCTCTGTTGTCATTTTGTGGCATCAAGTCAATTCCAACTCATGGTGACCCTATGTATGACAGAGTAGAACTGCTCCACAGGGTTTTCCTGGCAGTAATCTTTATGGAATCAGATTACCAAGCCTTTTCTATTTTCCTTTTTTTAAAACATTTTATTGTACTTCAGGTGAAAGTTTACATAGCAAATGTGACATTGGTTGCAACCCCTGCAACTTGTGAGCATTCTCCCTATTTCCTCCCTGGGTCCCCCGTTTCCATTCATCCAGTTTCCTTGTCCCTCCTCATCTTCTCATCTTTGGTTCTGGGTAAATGTTGCCCTGTTTCACCAAGCCTTTTCTTCTATAATGTCCCTGGGTGGGTTTGAACTATCAACCTTTTGGTTGCCATAATCGCTTTACACTCCTAATACCCAAGTTCCTTGCCATTGAGTGGATCCTGACTCAGAGTCCTTATAGGACTGAGTAGAACTGGCCCACAGGGTTTCCAAGACCGTAATCTTTAGGCGGGCACATCAGCAGGTCTTTTCTCCTGCAAAGCCAATGGTGGGTTTGAACCGCCAACCTTTTGGTTAAGCAGCTGAGCACTTAACCACTGAGCCACTAAGGCACCTTCAAATCACTCTATAGTCACTTCATTTCACTAGTCTACCTTTCCCCGGAAAGTCTGTAAGACAAGTAAAACTAATGGATAAGCTAAAATGGGAAGGACAAATTTCAACCCTCACACAACTCAAGTTCCTCTTATCCCTTTGACGCTTTGTACCTGTATAAGGCTGGGAGAGAGGCTCAAGAGTGGGGAAACTGAGGCCATGAATTCATTGTGTGAGGTCACAAGGGAGCTCAAAGTCCAGCTTCTCCTCCAGCACCCGGCCCCACACAGCTTTCCCTAGCTCCCTAGTGCCCTTCGGTGTGCCCTATAGGGAAGCCGGCTTTGCCACCAGGAGTCAGGCCTGAGGCGCTGCTCCCTTCCTCCAAGGCATCCTCAGACCCTGATCGCACCCTTTTGAAAGTGGCTGAGGTGAAACAGGCTGAGGGTTGGGAAAGACGGCAAGAATGAAAGCACCCTCAGGCCTGCTCGGAGAGTCAATTTGGGACAACCACAGGCTGCGGGTTGCCACCGGACGCCAGGAGCGCGGCGCGGGGGCGCAGGCAGCGGTGCTGAGAGGGTCGGTGTGAGGCGCCCCCCGGCGGGCAGCCCCTGGGGCGAGGAGGACGAGGTGTCTGGGAGCCCGCGTCCGGCGCGCGTTACCTCCTCGGCGCTGCAGCAGCGCGCCCGGGTCCGCCTGCCGATCCGAGTGCGTGCCCTGCGCGGCGCGCAGCTTCTCCGAGTGCACGATCAGCAGCATGTCGATGGACACAGCATTGCTGTCCTTCTTCAGCTCCATGGTGCCACCTCTCTCCCGGCTGGCGCGCCGCGGCCGCTCGCGAGGCTGCTTGCGCTGCAAATGGCCCCTTGCGTGCTGCTCCCCGGCGCGGGAGAGGGCGAGGGCGCGGGAGAGGGCGCTCCCCCGCTGCCGGGCCGCTGGGCGCAGCGTTTCGCTGACTCTGCCAAACGCGTTATTAGGGCCCTCCCGGGAGGGCGCTACCCTAACGAAGTGGTTATAAGTCACCTTTGAAAGGAAATCCCCGGGCCGAGCCCTGACCTGCACCAGAGGCGGCAGCCGACAGAGGCGGCGGGTTCCAGAGCCTCCCTCTGCACGCCCCCAGCCTCCGCCGGTGAGCGGGAAGCTCTTGTCTTGGGCTCGTCGCTTGCGCTGCCTGTTTCCGGACAAGGCCCAAAAAAGAGTCTGTCAGAGAAGCCACGGGCAAATGTAAAATCTCACAGTGCTTTCAACACTGAGAGACCTTTCAGAAAAAAGAAACACAGCAAAGGGGCTCCAGATTGAATTGCAAGATGTAGAAAAGTTGACCAAGTTTTGGCCTTGGCCCCACTCTTTACCCATTACCCAGGTGGGTTGTGGAGGGTGACTGCTCCCTCTATAGTAGGAAGCTGGATAGGGGTATTGGGATTAGGAACTCGCCCCAATTATACAACGTGCTCACTGAGCATTAAGCTAAAGTTCCCGCTCACCTGAAGTGAAAGTCTTAAAATCTCTGTTCCTTCTAGAATTTAGCTCCTGCTCTGAGGGGTGGAGGGGGATGGGGGCAGAGGAGAAGGCTGGGGCACTGGGAGCATGCCTGCCTCCTCCGCTGTCAGGGAGCTGGACCTGGGAGACTGTTCTATTTTTACCCAGGTCTGGCCAGCAGCAGCATTGTGTTTGGCTGCAGGTCTTAGGACTGTGTACACTGTCATCTGCCTGGTGGCCCATGGGCTGGGTGGCAGTTAGCTAACTTGAGTCTCCATGACTAATAAATGACACCCATGTGGAAGCCTCTGTTGTCAGGACTTCTCTCCACTTTGGAATGTACTGACTCTCACTTGTAGCATGATCCCTGGGAGCTGCCATCTTCCCTTTGGAGGGAGCATGCATCACACAGGCCTGGGTTCTAATCCCAGCTCACCTGCTTACTGGCTGTGAGACCTTGGACAAGTCATTTTCCCTTCATTTTTTTTGCCTGTATAATAGACATGATAAAAAATTTTCAGACATTTGTTGTGAGAATTACATGCAGTAAGGTGCCTGGTACCTAGTAAAACAACAACAACAACAACAACAAAACTCACTCCTCTCAAGTCGCATCTGACTCACAGCAACCCCTCCTTGGGTTTCCAAGGCGATATCACTACAGAAGTAGATAGCCCAACCTTCCTTCTGAGGAGTGGCTGGTGGGTTTGAACTGTCAGCCTTCTGGTTAGCAGTCAAATGGTCTACAAATAGTAGCTGTTGGTCTTACTTCATTTTGAGAGTGAGGAAATGGATAGGTTATGTGACAAGCAAGTCAGTGATGGAGTGTGTGTGTGTGTGGGGGGGTCACAGCTGTGCCCTCAGAATCTGAAAGTCTTTCCTCTTTGCCTGGGTCTCACAGTTTGGTCTCCATGTAAAGGCTGCCACATCACTGCATCAACCCCTCACTCACTAGGCATCCTATGAAAGGAGAAGTCACTTGCTTCCTAAGTTGGAGTCCTTCAGGAGCTGATCCCATGGAGGGCCAAAGGTGGGTGACTCCCAAGGCCTACTAAAGTAAGTTTTGTCTTGCTTTGTCTGCATGTGTGTGTGAGCGCACATGTGTGCACATGCACAGCTGGGATTCTCTGAAGCTCCTGGGGTCTCATAGTTTGCTTGAGTAGCCCCCTGGTGGCAGGGCCCCCCCCACCTCACCTGGGACAGATTTCAAGGGCCAGTTGTTTGAGGCACAACCACCAGCAGAAGTTCCTGTGCAACACTCTGCCTTGCTGGATGGGGCTGAGTGGGGAGGGTGGGGATGCTGAAAGCTCCTTGCCTGACTTTTGTTTCCTTCTTGCCCCATCCTCCACCCTCACTCCTTTGTGGGGCGTGTTACTCTGAGGGACTTGGTCCACCCTCCCAGAGCTGCCTCTTTGTTGTTAGATGCCATTGAGTTGTTTCTGACTCATAGCAACCCCATGCACAGCAGAACAAAACACTGCCCGATCCCGCGCCAGCCCCACAATCCCTGCTATACTTGAGCCCATCATCGCAGCCACTGTGTCAGTCCATCTCGTTGAAGGCCTCCCCCTCTTTTGTCGACCCTCCACACTACCAAGCATGACATCCTTCTCCAGGGAATGGTCCCTTCTGACAACATGACCAAAATAGGTGAGACGAAGTCTGGCCATTCTTGCTTCCAAGGAGCATTTCAGGTGCACTTCCTTCAGGACAGATCTGTTAGTTCTTTTAGCAGTCCACGGTACTTTCAGCATTCTTCGCCAGCACCGCAACTCAAAAGCATCAACTCTTCTTTGGTCTTCCTTATTCATTGTCCAGCTCTCACATGCATACGAGGTGATTGGAAATATCATGGCTTGTGTCATGCGCACCTTAGTCCCCAAGGAGACATCCTTGCTCCTCAGCACTCGAAACAGTTCCTTCGCGGTTGACCTTCCCAATGCTACATGTCTAATGTCCTGACTGCTGCTTCCATTGGCATGGATTGTAGAACCAAGCAACGTGAATTCTTTGACAACCTCAATCTTCTCTCCATTTATTGCGATGCTGCTCATTGGTCCAGTTGTGAGGATTTTTGTTTTCTTTATATTGAGATGTAATCCATACTGCAGACTGTATTCTTCAACCTTCATCAGTAAGTGCCTCAAGTCATCCTCACTTAGGAAAGTGCCACTTAGGAAAGTTGCCTCTTAGGAAAATGGATAACTTGGGGTGGGAAGTTAGGGGAACTAAGCACATGAACACTTGTGGAGGTCAGCAGTCAGCTAGTGGAGAAGAGTGGGCAAGGAAGAGAGTGGCCAGACACAGGTCCAGGATGATGGTCAGGGGACCTCCTGCCTCTCAAATATGTCCGAAAGCAGATCCTTTGAAATAGTTATTTCTCAGTCTCAGCATTACTGGCAATTTGGGCCATATAATTCTTTGTTAACAAGTCCTGGTGTCACAATGGCTAAACACTCAGCTATTAACCTAAGAGTTGGCAGTCTGAACCTACCCAGTGGCTCCATGGGAGAAAAGACCTGGCCATCTGCTCTGGTAAAGGTTACAATCAAAAAACCCTATGGGATAGATCTATTCTGTCACACAGGGTCACTGAGAGCCAGAATTGACACGATAGCACCCAGCAATGATAGCAGCATCAGCAGCAGTTCTTTGTTGTGGGGACTGTACAGTTCACCATAGGGTGTTTAGCAGCATCCCTGGGATCGACCTGCCAGATCTCAGTAGCATCCACTTCCTAGTCATAACTCTTTTACTCTCTTGGGATCCTGAGAGACAAGTTTCTCTCTTTTCTATAGAGACATAGTAGGCAAGCCAATAGAAGAAAGGCATTTAGCAGGGATGTACAGATGTGACATGCTCTCTTCCATTGTTGCAAGAGGGAAGGGGCCCACAGAGAGTGGGATAACTAGGGGAAGGGTAATAGACAGAGCCCCAGTCTTCTAATTCCCCCAGCTTTCCCTGAGATGGGTGAATTGTTACATGGCATACCAGATATAGAGGAGTTCCCCAGAAACCTTTTTGACAGCTGGTGGAAGCTTTTCAATATCTCTTAACTATCTTAACTTGGCTCACTCCCACTTCTGGGATTTTGTTATTGCTGTTCCCTCTTCCTGGAAAACCTCTTTGGACCTCCCTAGCAAATGCAATCTAGCCATCCTTCAAAGCACAGTACCGACTCTCACCTTCACACTGAAGCCTTCCTGGCCTCCCCAGTCCTTGGAACTCTTGGGGGTTGCCAAGTACCTGTGGGGTCTCTCTTTTAAACTATCCCAAGAGTTAATAGGATGTGGATGGTCATCCCGGCTCTGGCTTCACACCCACCAAATTTAGAAAATAAGTCAGTCTCCACCCTTTGGAGCAGCTATGCGAGACAGAAGTATATTTCCAGACACTGCCTCCTAGCAGAGTGACCTTTGGCAAGATACTTAACCTCTCCGAGCCTCAGTTTTCCCATGTATCAAGTGGTTGTGGATAATGTAGGGATTAACTGAGATGAAGTACTTAGTGATGGCTTAGTTATAACAACAAAACAACTCACTGCCATCAAGTCGATTCTGACTCATAGTGACCCCCACTGGGTTTCTGAGGTGGTAAATCTTTACAGAAGTAGATTGCTCCATCTCCTTTCTGCAGAGCAACTCGTGGGTATGAACTGCCAACCTTCCAATTAGCCGTTAAATACCTTAGCATTATACCACCAGAGTTCCTTAGTTATAGCTATAGCCAATTCCTGTATTTTAGTCAGACTCTTGTCTGAGTCCTGCTCTGAGGAGGGTCTCATGAGTGTATCAGTGTTGGGTAGAGGTGGGTAGAAGAAACTGGAGGCATCCCCAAACCCTTGTGGAGTAGGAAGTTAACTTCCTTCCCTATGTCTCTGCTCTGTCCTCACAGAGGAGCCCAATGAGTAATGGAATCCATTTCTTGAAAAACTGGCATCAGATTTGTGCACTCTCAGCCCCTTCAGAGGAGCTGTGGCTCAACACAGCTCTCCTTCCCTCCCATTCTCACCCCTCTGCTGAACACTGAATGCTGTGCATGCATTTTTCCATTCAACAGAATGTTCACTCTTGTTAGCTCCATTTTATAGATGAGAAAACTGAGGTTCAGATAGCCAAAGTGGCCATATTTAGGGTCCCACAGTATCTCACAAATAGTGTCTAATCCTTGACACCTTACTCTGTGTGACCCTAAAACTCATTACTGAACCCCCTAACATGACTGTCCCATGTCTGCAAGCTGAGGCTGCTTAGGGTCAAAACCAGTGGGAAGAGTAGCTTTTAGCTTGCAGGGGAGAAACACTCAGCAGTCATACTAAACACACCTTAAGACAAGGCTCTGAAACCTATCTTGAGACTCTTAGAAAAATTC